AGCTGGATGGAGTTGAGAGGCCAGGGAAAAAGTATAGAAAAAAATCAATATCACTAGACTGGAATGGGATTTTCTCAAACTGTTTTAGACGAATGTTTATGCAAGTGAAACAAATAAGCGGCTGGAATTTGGAATCATTTTGAGAGGGTTTGGCACAAAGTGATGAGAACTCCCAAAATTATGAGCTTTTGAGAACTAGGATTTTTAGTGGGAATTTCCAAAACAGGGGCTGAATCAGATCGGGTTATCATCAAGGTTTGGTTCGGTGCTTAGTGAAGCTTCTTTCTCTAGGAAATGCATGTGGATGTTGAGACTTTAATGAAATAGAAAGTAGACTTACTTGGGATCAAACTCAGTCTTAGTACATAATGAATGCTTGCTTTTCTCAAGCACAGACAGAAAAATGCTTTTCTCAGACTTGTTAGAAAAAAATATATGCAGTGAGAAAATAAAAAAAATAAATAAATAGGTAAATATTTAATATCTAAAGACACTTCATATCAACATTCATAAGAAGCAACTACTTTTAAAAATGCTAAAATTGTATCATGTTTTCTGACGTCGCTGTTGAATAGGTTAGCAGTTAAACGTGTTTGACTTTAATAATTATAGTACCAAACATACTCCATTCTCTAAAAGTAGCACACAAGAATGCACAAACCATAGCATTATTAAAGGACACATTTTTCCAACTACCGAAACCAACATATCCAAGAAGAATAATAAGAAACAAAACTACAAATTACTGCTACATTATATAAAGTATAATCGACTATTAAAATGAATAACTAAAAGGAACAGGCTGACACCTTCCATTCAGGGTCATATAGCAAAAAAAATGAAAGGTACAGAATGAGACTAACCCAAGCATCATGAGACTACCTGCTTTTTCATAATAGCGTAACTTTTGTCCTACTTGGAATATGGCTTTGGAAATTTATGACATAATGTGATTACTTGTATTCATGGAAGGTCTACCAATGGTTGGGATGGCGTTTAGCCCCTGTTTTGGGTGAAAGCATATAGAAAATATTAAAAAACAAGAATGGGGCCAAGCCCCTTTTTTGGAAGAAATTTTTTAGGAGAGAAAACAAAAGGTAACAGTGGGGGGGATCCCCTGTTTTGGAGTGAAAACAAAGGGGAAAGAAAAGAAAGAAAAGAAGAGGAAGAAAAAAATAACTTAACAAATGAATGGACTTTCCCCTTGAAGCTTGAACTCAAACAAAGTTGACTAGTTTTCCCAAGAAGGAAGAAAATACCTTAACAAATGAATGGACTTTCCCCTTGAACTTGAACTCGAACAAAGTTGACAGGTTTTCCCAAGTCTCTCTCTCTCTCTCTCTTTATCTATAAAAAGTAAAAGAAAAAATGATACAGTATTTATACAGATCACCAAGGCACTCTCCTGGCCGCATGGAGCCTGGCTTCAGGCACACAACTTTGGAACAGAGGCAAACACCTACATTAAAATGCGCCTAGGTGCACCTTTTAAAACACTGAGTAAAAAGTATACGTTAAAACACAGTTAACTAAGCAGAGATATATAGTGCAGCACAATATCAAACATAAAATATTTTCAAAAAAACATATTACAGAATGCTAACATAAAGGTATAGCCATTTTCTCAATCTTGAAAAAGTCAGCAACTCGGGATGCAATACGTTTTAATGTAAAAGGTTACGTTAAAACACAGTTAACTAAGCAGAGATATATAGTGCAGCACAATATCATACATAAAATATTTAAAAAAAAAAAAAAACATATTACATACAGAATGCTAACATAAAGGTATAGCCATGTGCTCAATCTTGAAAAAGTCAGGAACTTGGGATGCAACAGACCTTCTAAGCCGTGTAATGTAGTCTTTCACTGACGAACAAAGATTTGCATTGACAGTTAGAAAAATCTGGCGTAGAGCACTGGTCTTAGGAGCTGCAAGATTCTCATAGCTCATAAAACAATATGGTTCATCAACTGGGCTTGAAAAACCATCAGAGGCAATAACATGGTGTTGTTCCCTACGAATCAGTTTCATAACTGACACAATAGTCTTTCCCGTTCCAGACCTCCCTACTACAAAAGCACTTCTTGGAAACCTAATTACCTCTGACTCAAGCTCACTTAATTCAAATGGAAGTTCAATTTCTTTCCCGTCACAAGCAGTTAGCATGTATTTAGCATTACCAGAAGATAAAGAATAGAACTTCATCAGCAACAAACTTTCACTAAACTTTAAGTTTTTTATGCGATGTAAACCCCCAGAAAGACTAGAATAATCTTGTGAGTACGATGATTCCTTATACTTGACAAAATCAGAAGAGATTTTCCAAGTCATTGGCACAACGAGATCCCTATAACAGTATCAAAAATAACTGTGTAAGCATTTAGTAGCATGGTTATCTATGTTTTTCATGGGAATAGAAAAAGAAAATTTTCTAGTAAAAAAATCAAAAGTTTAACAAGTTGATGTCATGGTTGGAAAGAATTGCATGGCTAGTATTCACATCTTGTAAGCAGAAAAGAAGTAAATAATTTAAGATATCCATAATGCATACCCTTCATGTTTCTCATTGCTGCATAGTTCTATGTATCTATCAGTACACAATGAAACCATGTTTTCAAGTTCATCCATAAGCTTTGGAATATCCACAAGTGCTAAGACATCCCATACCCTCAATACCTGGATAAACTTTGAACGTTTGATGGTATCAGTAGTACAGATAACATATAACCCATGCACCCTGTATAGCTTCACAATCTTAGACAATGATGGACATAAAGGGTATGGGTATGTGCGCTTTGGACGCCAACCATTTGCTAGCTTTAACAAGAACCCAATAACTAGTTGCTTGCACAACAGAGTCCTCAAAGAAATGAAAGACTTCTTGAAGTTATCACTGAATAAAATCTGCATATTGACCGTAAGATCAGAATAAGGATTACTATTATAAACTAACAACAGATTCAACATTAATCATGTTGTTGAATATGCAAATCAGACACAAGAAATTAGTTAGGCACAAACAAATGTCACAAAGAAACACCATGGACAAGTCATGGAAGTAAAAGTAATTACATGTGTCCAGGAGTCTTGACTTGAAAAGATGATAAATCATGGCCTCCGAGACAGATATATGAAAATGCTTATACTATTACAATAGTAAATATATTTTCAAATCGATCATATACCTGCAAAAGGGGGCCCAAAAATAGGCCTTTATTAACAGGTAGCATTTGATATAAAAGACTTGCATTCAGCCAGTATATTAGCTATTCATTTATGTCAAATTGCATTCATCCAAACAGACAGCCAATTTAGGAGAGTCCATTCAACACAGTTAAAGAGGCAAAGGACCAACAAGCCAACAGACATAACTGTTCAGTTTAGTGATCCCTATGCATGAAAATCACTTGATGTTTCCTCAGCCTAAATGTTGTTCCAACTTTGGTTTCCCAGTAGGGTATAGCACAAATCTTTTTAATAAAAAAAAGTGTCCTATTAGTTAATTGATGATAGGACTCAAGTGCTTAATGCAACAAATCTTTCAAACTCATCTATGAAAGGTAAAAATGAAGATACATAATATACTATTTATTGATACATAAAAATGAAAGGCTCTGTTTGGATTTTGGGGATGGAAGTAGAATGGTATAAATTTGACAGAAAATGTCTGCTACTTTCCAGTCTCCATGTCTTCCTTTTTTCATAGAAAAACAGTGGAAAGTAGAAGGCAACTGATGATCAAAACCTTTTCCACCCACTTTTTCCAATTACACCCCAATCCAAACACAATCCACCTGTCTTTAGTATCCACATATCAAACCTTCCACTTTGTCTTCTTGAAAAGTGCAGTGTCATCTTTCAACAAATCATCAAGCTGATTTAACTCTTGTTTGATATTTAAAATTACTCCAGCCAATTGTCTATCCTCCCCAACTTGGAAGAAACAACCACGTTCTTTCGCATCAAGCACAAGGTCTTTCCAGATGGAAGGACCTCTAGCCAAAGTTAACTCATTTCCAACAATCCAAAGGCATTTCCTGCAATTCAACAAACCAAAACAATATAAAATTCTAGACATATATCTAAAATTGATTGCAGATGCTCTAGTAGAGGCAGAAAATTTAACAATGAAATCATCAATATTCAATACCTTGCCCTGGTCAGAATATTACTTGTAAGATGAGGATCAGACGGTATCCCAACATATCCATTCTCATTACATCTTACCATAGAAATTATTATCACATCCTCCTCGCTGCTTTCAATTTTATGAAAAGCCTTCATCCACAAGGAAAAATCAGATTTACGCTCAATTCTGCTAGATACCATGTCCTGAATAGCCTGAACTTGCGCATCATATGGGGACAATATTCCAACACTGGGTCTCTGGCATGAAGATGCACAAGCTGTACAAGCAGGTGGTGAAATCATGAAATTTGAATGCAAAATTGGTAGAATAACAATACTTAAGATAGTCTTAAGTATAAATACAAACAGTAAAAGTAACTAAAGTAATGAACAAATAAAAAGGAAAGACAACACAGACATTCACAGAAACGAGCATTATAACTGAATTTTGGAAAAAGAACAACTCAACACAACAAAGCCTTGTCCAGTTGTTTCAACATCCAACTATATGGGATCAGCTACATGAATCCTGATCCACCATTCTGCTCTATTTAGCTTTTGTAGAAAAGAGTGTTGACAGTCTAGTCTATTTGGGCCTTATTATTTCATGTTTATGTTTTCTTTTCATATTGGGCTTGGGCCCTATTGTTATTTTACCTTTATGTTGTATAGTTTTAAGTGGTCACATGACCACTTTAGTTTTAAGTGGTCACTAACAACCCCAATGATCTGGTCTCCACAACCTACATTTCCCATCTCTTCTTTTCTCTTCTCTCTATTTATTCTTCTTCACTACTAAAACTCAGACATTCACGTATAGTTTGTGATCTGAACAGTTGTGATCAACAACTTGGTATCGGAGACAAGTCTTGATTATTGTTTTTCATTCTCTCATGCAATCTTAGTCCACCTGACGGCATAAGATAGTTTTTGGGCTGGATCGATAGTTTAGTTGGTGCCTGGTTTGGTGACTTTTGGAGAAGTTAGTGTTGCTACCCACTGATTTTTCTTGGGTCTATTAGTGACCTTAGAGTCAATTGACTAGACCGGGTTTTCTTATTAGGAGAAGACTGAGAGGTTGGCAGATTCTAATCTCTATTTCTTGAAGTTCTAAAGGTTCCTGTCAACCTGTTCTTCATTGTGATGTGTGGTGACCATATTATATTCCTCGCTTGGGTGGATATAAATACTTCTTATTATTTTGTTGATGACTTCTCCCTCTATTCATGGGTTTATCTTAAGAAACCCCATGATGAGGTTCCTGCTTTGGTTAAACAATTTAACCAAACGGTTATTACACAATTCTATAGACACACCAAGGTATTCCAATCTAATAATGCTAAGGAATACTTTGAGAAGAATCTTACCTCCTATTTGGATAATTGTTGTTGGATCATGGTATTGTTCATCAGAGTTCTTGTGTATACTCAACAGAATGGGGTGGTAGAGAGAAATAATCGACATATACTAGAAGTGTCCCAGACTAATATGTTTAGTTCTTGTGTACCCATTTTTTATTGGGATGATGCAATCCATACGGTTGTGTATCGCATCAACAAAGTTCCTTTCCAGGTTTTGGGTTTTAAAACTTCCTTTAGACTTTTGCATTCCAGTCATGAGCTCCTTGTTACTTCCTTACATGTTTTTGAGTGCACTTGCTTTGTCCATATTCTTGGTCCTCTCAAGTCGAAATTTGATCCCAAGGCAATTAAAAGTATTTTCTTGGGATAGGCACAAAATCAAAAACGATACTATTGTTATGATCCTATAACAAGGAAGAGGTATGTCTCTGTGGATGTCACCTTTTTTGAGTCCACACCCTATTATACCCAGGGCGAGAGGGAAGGTGAGAATAATCTAAGAGAACTTGAAATACCATTTCCTGTTCCTGTTCTTGAAGCTATTCTAGAGAGATAGCTACAGATGTATGAGAGAAAAAGGTTAAGAATACCCACTTCAAGTCTCCTTTGAGAACAAAGGCTCTAGCGACACTCCTGTTGTGCCTTAGCCTCTTCAGAAAACTCTTAGTTTTGATTCTCTAGGTGCTACTGTTCTCCCTATTTCTAATGTCCCTGCTGCTACTATTTATGACCTTGACCTGCCTATAGCTCTTAGAAAGGAAAAAGACAAGTTTCATCTTCTTCTGCTACACGTAGTGTAGCCTCTTATATTTCTTATGATCAGTTGTACCCTAGATATGTCTCTCTTGTGGCCTCTATTTCTTCTATTCCTATTCCCAAGTCTGTAACCAAGGCTATGAAAATGCCTACGTGGAGAGAAGCTATGCAAGGTGAAATCGATGCTTTGTTCAAGATGAGACATGGGAGGTGGTTGATTTACATAGAGGGAAGACACCTGTTGGTTGTAAGTGGGTTTTCATAGTGAAGTATAGGTCAGATGGAAGTATTGAAAGGTATAAGGCCAGGTTGGTAGCAAAGGGTTTCACACAAACTTATGGAGTTGATTATGGAGAAACTTTTCTCCAGTTGCAAAGATGCCATCTATACACATTCTAGCTTCATTGGTTGCTCATTTTAATTGGCCATTATGGCAATTTGATGTGAAAAATGCATTCCTGAATGGTGATGTAAATGAGTTGTATATAATGTTGCTACCGGGGTTTTATCTCGAGAAGCAAGATGATACGGTTTGTAAACTTAGGAATGCATTGTATGGCATGAAACTATCTTTAGGGAACCAGACTAGGCATCAACCAGGAAAAAGGAGAGGTTCACAATCAGAAGTTCACCTGGGTTCAAGACAGAGTTTGAAGTTCAAAATATATAATCATATTATGCTATAACATTTTTTATTTTATATTATATTATCATGTAACATAATATAACATATATATTATATTATATTATATGCACAATTATATGATATATACATAATAATATTGATTATATGCACAAATTCAAAATATATAATTATATTCTTCTATAACATATATTTTTTAATTCTAGTTTCATTTTTTTATATCTTCCCACCATTTTAGGCCAAAAGGCATTTTTTTGGAAAAAATAGTGGGATAAGGCACCTTCAACACCTTGGGAAGATATAGATCTTAGAAAGTTTCCCAAGGCACATTCCTTGGAACAATCACCATGTGCATGGTTTGACAAGTTATAAAAGCATTACAAAGAGTTAGTTTTGAGAAATCCCAATCAAAATCACCCTTTGTTCATGAAGAATGGAAAGTTGGTTACTATTCTTATTGCATATGTTGATAATTGTTACAAAATTATAGGCTGTAAATATGTAGTATTAGCCCAATTAAGAATAGCTTGATTATAGGAATTATTCTTTCTTTGATTTTCTTCCTATTTTAGTATCTACAAGGCTGTATGATTTTCTTCCTTTTTTGTATCTGCAAGGCTGTATGATTTTCTTCCTTTTTTGTATCTGCAAGGCTGTATGATTTTCTTTTCTTCCTTTTTAGTATCTACAAGGCTGTATATATATGTACTATTTTCTCAATTGAAAGACATCAATTTCTTCCAATTCTTGTTCTATCACATGGTATCAGAGCTGGAGACACCAATTCCAATCTGAAACTAATTCCTGGTTTTCTTCCATCTGCTACCCAAGTGAGCAGCTTTGAATTCTTTACGTTGGCCAAGTGAGCAGCAGCTGTGATCTCTAGGTCACCCATTCTGAGTGACATTTGCATCTCACCGCCCCTACCAAAGGAAGAGGAGTCCCCAGATCGGCCTACCCACCTTCACCAGTCTCTTTTCCGACGATCGCCTCAGCCTCGATGTTACTCCTGTGGTGTTTGTTTGCCCATCAGAAAAGTCTTTCTTCTCTGTTCTTTTTATACAGTTGATATTTCAGTGCCGCCAGTTGTGGTTTCTTGTTGTTTGGGTGTTGCATTTGCTGCCGATTTTGTTTAAGTGTGTTTTATTGGCTTTGCTGGTTGTTAAAAGTTTATTTTCCTGTGTTTATGATGGYGGTTGAACARAAGAACTTGGCTATGCCTAGTGTTATCCCCATTCTGTCTAAAATCACTGAACAAAAACTAAACGGAACTAATTATTTAGACTGGAGTAAGACTGATCATTTGTAATTAAGGAGTATCTCTAAGGACAACCATCTGACTAAGGACCCTCCTACTAATGAGACTCGCACTGAATGGCTAAGGATTGACGCTCAATTGTTTTTGCAAATTCGCAATTCTATTGAGAATGAGTACGACGGTCATGTCTCTCACTGTGAGTTTGTAAAAGAACTAATGGAATATTTGGCTTTTCTGTTCTCTAGTAAAGAAAATATTTCCCGTATTTTTTATGTTTGCAAGACATTTTATCGGGCTRAACAACAGGATCAGTCTCTTCAGACCTATTTCATGAATTTCAAACGCACTTATGAGGAATTGAACGCCTTGTTACCTTTCAGTATTGATATCAAAGTTCAGCAGACTCAACGTGAACAGATGGCTATTATGAGTTTTCTGGCTGGCCTTAATCCTCAATTTGATGGTGCTAAGTCACATATTCAATCTAATGTTGAGATTACCTCTTTAAAAGAGGTCTTTACTAGGGTCCTTCGTACAGATATTGGTTCCCATACCTCACCTATACAATAACCTAGTGCACTTGTCAGTCAGAATAGTGGTCGGTCTTGTTCTCAGAATAGTAGCAGAGGTGGCAGTAATAGTGGTCGGAATGCTGGAACTCAGGCCACAGGGGGAGTAGTTTGCTACTATTGTCATGAACCAGGACACTAAAAGGACTTGCCAGAAATTGCTAAAGAAAAACCAGAAGTCTTCTGGGTCTCACTCAGCTCATGTTGTAACTACGATGCTACTCATCCATCGTCAGATCAGACCATTACAATTTCTACAGATGAGTATGCGAAATTTACCCAGTATCAAGAGGCATTAAAGAACTCCTCTCAGTCCATCACAGCCCTTGCTGAGTCAGGTAAAACCAATACATGTCTTCTTTCTTCTTCCTCTCAGTGGGTCATTGATTCTRGTGCAACAGATCATATGACACGTAATCCTAGTCTCTTTTCCACTTTCCAATCACACACTTTTCCTTCTTCAATCACCTTAACAGATGATTCTATTTCTTCTGTCCTTGGTTCTGACACTATCAATCCCATACCAACAGTTTCTTTGTCATCCGTATTGAGTTTACCAAAATTTTCTTTTAATTTGGTATCTGTTAGCAAACTCACTTGTACTCTTAACTGTTGTATCTCATTCTTTCCTAATCATTGTCTATTTCAGGATCTTATGACAAAGAGGATTATTGGTAAAGGACGAGAATCA